TGATTCTTCAATCGTTTCTTGTGCAGACGTACCTGGTTGGGGCTGAGGTTCTGGTTCTGAAGTGTTCATTTTGGTCACTGGAGGTATTTCTCGTAGGCAGCGACGAGTCCTTTGTTTGGCTGGTGAGCTAACTCCGTCTGACCGAGACCTCTTGGGCACCTTACTGGCCATCACTTGCTGATCATACCGCATATCATAAGAGAAAAACAAATAAATAAATAAAAAAAAAAGATGCCAACAGTAAATATCAACTGCTCTGATATACACTTTAACTGTATCACGTGAATAATCACAGAGATTCCGCTATAAAGTTGGTAAAAACTGAGAGAGGAGTTGAGGAGAAAACCTTCTCATCAGCTGATCCACTCACTTAAAAATTAGGAAAACAAAAGGCAGTGTATACAAATTAAAACAGGAAAAAATGTTAAAATTGAGTTAAAGGATATTCTAAGTATATTTATTAATAACTACATATTATCAGCGGACCCCAAACCATGCGTTTCCGTTGAAAACTCAGATTCGAATTTTTCTTTGTTTCATCGTTTCAAAATAACTTATTTTACTAAATGTTACATATATAAGTAAAAAGGAAAGTAAAAACAATTACACGCTACTTAGATATCGTTAGTGAAAAAAAAAAAATTAATGAAAATAGTAAAAAAATTATGCAGTTTTTCGGAGAGGGACCCATTATTCGGCAGTTTGAGTTTCCGTCATTTGATGCTTGATTGAATGAGGAAACGTCAGTTAAACTATGGTTCATTTCCTAAAAATAACTAATTTTCTGCTAGTTAAATAAAATAAAAGAAAAAACACGGCTCTTTTTAGTATTTTAATTGGGTTCGTTCGCTATAGAAAGCTCTATAGTTTCAAATCTAATTCTAGAGATTAATGATGGATAAGTAAATCCCTCTTTAGCTGGATTCACCATATCGGTAATCCAGATTAACTTGAAAGTTTTTTTCTTTTACTGTAGCTTAATTTTATCATCTAGCTCTGGTATTTTGCCGTTTATTCAGCTGAATATTCCTAAAATCAAGTGTAGCCCTTTCTCGTTGTAGCTCTCATGCTATACATTGAGACAGGGCCGTCGCGTAGGTTGTCGGCGCCACTGGCAAGATTTTACCGTGCGCTCCTCTCCTCTCAGCATCCCAAATCAAGTTTTAAACCCAAATGAAAAAAAAAAATGGGCGTAAAGAATGTTGAGGGTTCTCTCTTTATGAGATAGGCAATTGAAAACATTGTTTCTCCTTTAAAAAAATACCATTTCAACCCACTTTACTCCTTAGGCCAGTACTAATTGTTTCAATATTGTACTTATACTATAGCCGTATGCCAAATACATATTTTTTTCTATACCGGACGGGTATCGAAAATAAGATTACATGCACAAAATCTGGTATTTTGTCGAGATTCGACCTGCAACTAAAACATGTATATATTATACCATGAAATATATATTTTTTTAGGATAAACAAAGGCTCGAAGTTGATAAATCCTCTTTTAATTCCAAAATCTTTGGTCACCCCAATCCTGTATGTCATAACGTTTCATCCAATACAAATCCAGACAACACTCCGAGGCTTCTGAAAAGAATATGGCCAAAGGGCCTCCTAAAGTAATTAATCTTTGAAGTGTTACCAATGGGTAGCTTATTCACAAGTACTTATCGTGTTATGTATTCCTATCAATAGCGGATCCAGGATTTAATTTTGGGGGGAGGCTTCAGTCCGAAAGATTTTTTTTCGTCATACGTATAACGATAACTAATTTGAAAAAAAAAAAGAAAGAAATTAACTACCTATATGAAATGGTGTTTAAGTGGTTCCTGAAGTCCTATTAAATGTAATTACAGGAACAAGAATACTTTAAGAGATAGTTTTTAATATTTTTTTCTCTAAAACATGGTTATATTTTACCATTTTTGGGGGAGGGGACTTCAGCCTGAAAACCCCTCTCCCCCTCCCCGGAGATCCGCCCGTGATTCCTATAGCATATTTACTAGTTGTATGTATGTTTACAGTTGTAAATTTAAATTAAATTAAATTAAAAGAATAAACCGAGATGATATTCGTTTTTCGCACCTGTAATAATCCTTGAATAAGAATTTTCGTTGCAATCGGAAAAAGTAAAATTTTTGCTAAATATTCTTTCTTCTATTAATAGTTCTCACAAGATCCATCTACGTTTGGAGCTTTATAGCTGATGTTAGCAGAGCCAAATACATGTATTTTTCGAATGCAATGAAAATTTCCTAAATATTTAAGTGTATTTAACAGTTGTAATATGTATTATAAAGCTATAAACTCATAAGTCACTCCTACTAATAAAAGGTAAAATATTTAGCAAAAAAATTGTTTTTTTCGATTGCAATGAAAATTCTTATTTAAGGTTTCTTTTATTTCTTTATTGAATATTACAACAATCTGTCTCTTGGACATTGGTTATAGTGAGGTAGGATGACATTCACACTATATGTACAAAAAAAAATAAAATAAATAGAAACAAAATAATAATCAAAAGTATATACAATAGATAATAAGATAAAATAACCTAAAAAATAAAAACTAAGCAAAAAAAAAAAAAAAAACACATGCATACCTATATACAATTAGGCGAGGGAACTCCAGGAGAACCCTGCGCTACTCTCTCAACCGCGTCACTGGTACTAAAGCCAGCGGAGATGAATCGAGAGCGCTTTAGCCACATTCACTCATGTCTTGAGTGAAGAATCTGACCATTGCTAGAACTCTAATATATACAATCTACAAAAGGTCGCGAGGCCACTGCCATTTCAACCTTCTTGGAGGATTATAGGGGTGGGAGGTGCTTGATAGGGATTGTGCAAGAGGATTTGGGTGGTATGTAAGGTTCTGGTGAAATTTAGAGAATTTTTCTGGGATAAGGTCTAGGACAAATGGGATGTTGAGGTGATGATGTAGTGTTTTATTGGTTACATAGAAAGGAGTATCGACTGTTGTTCGAAGGACTTTTGACTGGAAGGATTGGATGCGCTTAATGTAAGAAAATTTTGCTGATCCCCACAGTTCTATTCCGTAAGTCCAAATAGGTTTCAGCATTGTCTTGTAGATCAGTAGCTTGTTTTGAATGGAAAGTTTAGATTTTCTGTTTAGTAGTCGGTATAGTTGGCCGTATCGTCGGTTGAGTTCTTATCTTTTGAGTCCAGTATGTGGGTTCCAGGATAGTCTTCGGTCTAAAAGAAAGCCAAGATACCGAACTGTGTCTGAGGAATTAAAGGAAGCTGGATGGAATTAAAGAGTACTGGTGGACAGGAATTGCGTCGGAGTGTAAAGGTAATATGGTGGCATTTAGATTCATTAACTTTAATGCGCCAGTTATTACACCAGTGCTCAATCAAGGTGAGGTGGCTTTGGAGAGTTAAGGATGATATTTCGGGATCAGAGTTGGATGATAAGATTGCGGTGTCGTCAGCGAATGTTGCAAGGAAAGTACAGGGATGTCAGCAGTAAAGAGGATGTAAAGCACGGGACCCAAGACGTTGCCTTGGGGAACACCGGCTTTAACGGAGTAGATATTGGAAAATTCTGTTCCACAACGAACTCGAAAGGAGCGGTCAAAGAGGTAGGATCGGAGGACTAGGTACAAGGACTGAGGTAAATGGATTTTAAGCTTGAAGAGCAGTCCGGAGTGCCATACCCGGTCAAATGCCTGTGCAATGTCCAGAAATGCACCCGAACAGTATTCCTTGTTTTCTAGGGCTGAGGAAAAGGAATATTTTGGGATTCTATAATGGGTAGGATTCGTTTCAAAAGGATCTTTTCAAAAATTTTTGAAAGGATTGGGAGTAGGCTAATTGGTCTATAGGATGTTGAGCTATTGCGTGATTTGCCTGGTTTTGGGAAAAGGATAATAGTGGAGTGTTTCCATTACAGAAGGAAGTGGGTGGAGCTTAGGATACAATTGTAGATATATGTAAGGAATATGACTGCTTTGGATGGATGTTGTCGAAGGATTTGAGGGGTAAGGAGATCATGTCCAGGAGCTTAATGGGGGATCAGTTTTTTTAATTGAAATTTCAATTTAAGGTTTTTTAGAGGTACAAAACGAATATGATATTTGTTTATCCCCATAAAGTATATTTCATGGTTAAATGTGTACAATACATATTAATATTACTGCCGGAATATTACTGTCGGTATCAAGAGAAATAAAATAAATAGTTTTGTTTAGCAATAATGTTGCTGCTAGTTATGTTAAATAATTGTTTTCCATAATTTTTAAAGTGTCTAAAGAAACCTTTAAATTAACTCTGAAGGATGGATTTATTTTCTCTTCTAAAAAACATTTATCATTTCAAAGATATAGACACAAAAAGAAATTAAAAAATCTTAAGCAGATTACGATTAATATTATGAGATAAACTGTCAAATAATATATGGAAGAATATAATTACATTAAATAAAAACTATAAATGGCTTTGAAGTACTGGTCCAAAGCGGGCAGACATACAAAGCAGTGAAATACAACCATCATCCCTTGTGGTGCTTTAAAAAAACAACTCAGTCTTGGGGAATATTCTTTATTCATCTCTAGACACATCAATGGCAATGCCGATACTATAACCGTGCGGAATGTCAATATTAATATTATGCCAATTAGAAAGTTGGTTAATACGTTTTCTCTCAATCGATTTTTACCAGCTGGTATTAGCAGAATCAAAAAGTGTGGAACGCAATAAAGAGCTTCTTTATAATATTGATGGATTTGTTTAATTCGCGTGATAGTTGAATTTTCAGTTTCAAAATTATAAAACTAATTATATTCCTAAGTCGCTAGTGGGGTAATGATTTCTCAGGTGGAGAAAGTATTGTGAAAAACTTTCTTTTTCCACCAAGTAACAATTACATTGAAATCAAGGTAGAGTTTTTTCATAAATATAGATAAAAATTATACCCAAACCTCATTACTAGTTATTGTATCATCCATAGTTACAAATTAAGCAACATCGATTAGAATTACTTCACTTCAATGTTGCCATTTAATTCCTTAATTAGGAACGAGATTGGACGACAATAGCGCACTCCGTTGGATGACACTTCAACTACACTCACAGTGAAACGGTGTATGGCCTAGATGAACATAAACAAGGTGCTATGTGGTGGATTTGGTTAGATTTTAACGATTGCTTGAAAAAATTCGGCCAACATGGTGATACAACATGAAACTTAATTAAGGTAGTTGTATATGTTGTGATGATGTTCTGATGCGTTTAGTTTCATCTAAAACATATATTTAGTCTTCCAATGACTAACTTTTCATTAAATCAAATAAGAATTACTTCTCTCGCTGTGATTACACTCTACATTGTGTTCCCAAAAGTTTACTGTTCATGGCGATATTAAAAAGTCACTTTTTCATTATCATCAGTGTTTGCTTTTTTTTTTTTTTTTTCAGTGAAGGTATTCTATGAATATACAAAACTAATTTATCTTTGTCCAAAGGGGAGGTATGTTAGTGTAACAGCTTATCTCGAACCAACATTTACTGGTATTCGTATTTCAGATTGATAGTTCTTGCGAAAAAGTTATTTAAAAATACCCCTCAATTAGTCTAGCATATTGATTACAATTGCTGACAAGTGTTAAACCTGTTGAATTTCTGCCCTGGATATTTTCAGTTTCAATTGAGTAAGGAGTTTATATATTCTGTTATTTTTTGGTATCATGAACTTTATAGTCTTCCTTTAATTTAATTTGTGCTCTCTCCAAGAACGTCAAATGAATAACTGTGTATTTGGGATCATTTATTCCCACTTCCTTTTTATTTAAGTATTGTTAGTCTTTAATGTTTAGTATGTGAATTCCTTTATTGACACTAGAATAATAAGATATGCTTATTTGAAATTGTTAACATTTTTGGAGGTCGTATTTGATATATACTTGTTAAAAAAAATAAATATACAAAAGTTTGTCTTTTTATGAATTTTGTTAAAGTCTTCATTCTTACTTTTCTTTTACCACCACTTTAACTCTTACTTGCTTCATGACAAGTTGTTATATTTTTTTGGATGATTCGTTGGAGTTATTAAAACAAGCTGACTGAGAAAGAGTTTTTGTGAATCCACTGTTTATTTCATAGAACATTGGAAAAGTTGTGACAATGCGACTGGAAAGTTTTAGGTTTCCAGGGTAACAGAAAATGCATGTGACGTGAAAATTATTTAATTTGAATATCAGTACATGCCTTCCGTTTTTAGAATAACGTCCTATAAGTGAAGCGTTTTAAAGAGGGTTTATAAATTACTTATTTTAAGTAATGATTTTAAGGTTTTTTCATGTTTTGAGATTCATAACCCATTACTTTGGAAAAATTAGTATGTAATGATAATTTATGAGCCAAAATATTATATTATTTCTGAAATATATATTACATTTTTGCAAATATCCTTACGTTATGGTTAAATAATAGATTAGATTTATAGTTTTTCTCCACTTTTTTTGGACATAAAATTAGCATTTTTCAAAACTTTCAACTAAATGAGATGATTTTTTTCTTTTCATCTCTGACATTATTTAAATTAAAGAGTAAAATTAATGATAAGTATATTGTCTTAATTCGTCTTTTTCGGTAGTAAATTTCATTTTTAAATACTAAAAGACAAGTAGAAGAGGTCACTCTTTATTGTTTAGTTTGTCTCAAAATGAGTATCTCATTAAATTACCTATTTCATATAAAATTTATTAAAAATATAAGATAAAATATTAAAAAAAAAAAATATTGTAAGAATCTTAAGTGTAAAGGTACTAATTTGCTGATACTGCCTGCCGCAGCGGACGATAGTGACTGTTGGCAGTTGAGTACTACCTTAAAATTGTTTGAAATTTAAACGAAACTATAGGATACCTTTCTTTTTTGTAGAATTTAAGTATTTATTATATTACAGCTCTAATTAAAAAAAAATTCTTTAAGGGATTAAAATATATTTAAATTCACTTAATATTAAGTATTAGAAACAGTTTTATCCTCAAATATTAAGAGCTTACTTGTATTTTGATCATTTTTCATTTTAAAAAACATTTATTGGGGAAAATTGGTACAATATATGTCAATCAAAATATTTTCCACAACTTTTCCCCATCTTTCTGGCAACATGGCGATGCCATATTGTCGATAGTTGAAAGAACGGTATTGTTTTAGCAGCAATCCAATCATCAATCCATTTTTACATTTCTTCAGCATTTCGAAAATGTCTGCTAGCCAAGCCATGCTGCAGCTATATGAACAAATGGTAATCAGAAGGCGCTGCTGTGTTGACAGAAATTTCTATTCGAACTGCAACAGTTTGTCCTTCGCAGCTCTTGCAACATGTAGCCGAGCGTTGTCATGCAAGAGGATTAGTTTGCATTTGTTACTCTCTATTGCTGATCCTTTTTGCTAAAATTTGTTCAATTGACGTCAGTAGACATCTGCAGTAACAGTTACATCCAGTTTTAGCAGTTCTTAATACACAACACCTTCCTGATTCCACAAAATGTACAAGACTTTATAGCCATAAATATTCCGCTTTGGTGTCGATTTGGATGGCTCTCCTGGATCAATCCATTACTTTTTGCACTTGGAATTATCACAGTAGATCCATTTTTCATCGCGTCACAATATGTAACAGAAAATTTCTTTTTTTGCCTGGCAAGCAAAGAAACTGCAATGTTGAAATGGTTAAAAATGGCATTTTCAGACAACTCGTGTGGTAGTCATTTCCTCTGCTTTTGGGTCTTTCCCATCGCATGCATACGTCTCTGCTAGGCTGTCTGAAAGTTCTTTAAGAATTCCGGCTGGATTTTCAGCCTATGAGTCTTGTAATTGATTATCTTTAAATTTTTTTGGTCCTTTGGTCATTGACATCAAAATTACCACTCTTAAATCCTTGAAACCAAAATTGACAATTGGGATATGATAGAGCACTATCACCGTAAGTTTCTAAAAGTGTCTGATGGGCCTCGACTGCAGATTTATTAAAATCGAACAAAAAAAAATAATGAATGTCATAAATGCAATTTGGAGCATTCCATGATTAGAATTTTTATACACTGAATAACTTAGCAATACTAAATGGAAAACTTTCAAAATTATAACAATAAAGCAATACCCAAAACCATTGTTTATGTATAGTTTCCCAATTGAATAGATTTGTTTACCAATAGATGTAGTTGATTAAAATACATGTAACCACCTAATAAATACTTGAGTCCAAATATCCAATATTGAGTCCAAAAAACCAATATATCATTTTTATTTGGCATATCTGGATGTACAAAGTTGAGCTAATCCAAAATATTTAATGCTCACTATTGTGTTACAAATAAAATCATTCATAGTAACTTAATGTTCAATATGTCGCTGATTTTACCCAAGCCAGATATCTATCCTTTTATAAAAATCTCCAGTCCATCCAAAACCACTTGTTTCCTGTCTTGTTTCTTCCTCTATTTCTGATAATCCTAATACTCTGAAAAGAAGTCTCGGGATCTTCTTACTTAGAACTCTTGATACCCGATATAACTGTAGGGAGTGCTACCATTGTGAAGTATCTCCATAAGTCTGTTCATGTAATTATTCCTGATTTATTTACATTTACTGGTTGTATTTATTTAATACAGTTTTAAATTTCAATAAATAAGATTTTAATAATATTTTTATTTTAAGTGATGATTTACTAATCATCTAATGATAAAATATTACCTGTTGTGATTTCATTTCAAATATGTATATATTACTGAAATAAATATATTAGTCACTAATACAATTAGATCATAGATACAGCTTTAATTCTTAAAATAATTATTTATCAAATTCTTTCTATAATGAGGATGATATTTTCTATTCATTATCTCTACTAATTGTTTCCTATATTACACTGGTCAAATAAATTACACTAAAAGTCTCATTTTGCATTGTAAAATATTTGATAGCCAATGCCTGACCATCATTTCTTTTATTTACAATTATGTACTTAGTCAGTAATTTTTTTAAGAAATCATAACTGATAGGTTTAAGTTTGTGATAAAAAAAAATTGTTATTATTTCAGCTTTGGGCCTTTGGCTCTTGTGAGAAGAAATGGCTTCTGGAGGTTCGCAAATTACCGATGACTCAAAGACTGAAAGAAGTTTTAAACCTTGGGAACGTTTCTCTGCCTGGATACACGCAATATGTATTGTTACATTTGACCTTGAACTTGGTCAAGCTTTGGAGGTTGTGTATCCAACTTGTACAAAGTTAAGTGAAGAAGATAAAACCAATATATGTTATTTAGCTTTCCCAGATTCAAATTCAGGATGCATGGGTGATACACAATTTCATTTTAGATTTCGCCACATACCTCATGATAGCGCTAGCCCAACATCTTCACATGCCACCTATAATAATGGGAATTCAGTCTCTCTTCTAGCCAATAGAAATTATCTGTATGGTTATGTTTATTTTAGACAGGTTAAAGACACAACACTTCCGAGAGGTTATTTTCAAAAAAGTGTCATTATACTATCAAAATATCCTTTTGTGAACCTGTTCTTGACTGTTTGTCGCATGATAGCGCCAGAATTCTTTGAAAATGGCACTTTAAGCATTGAAGCAGCTTGCCATGAGATCGACCATTGGCCCCCTCCCATTAATGGAGAGATAGTGAGCCTTCCCCTATTAGGAATGGTTCTCCAGGCACAAATACCTGGTGATATTTCTCTTGGTAATGCTTCCATTCTGCAATCTATTTGCTCAACTAGTGTTATTCCCTGTGTACATCTCAACAATCTTTTTAGTTGCTTTTCTAATTGTATTTACCATATCCAACTTTTGTGGGAATTGGTATTGATAGGCGAGCCAATAGTAGTAATGGCATCATCACCCGAGACTTGTTCACAGATGGTTCATGCTCTTGTGACGATGATCATGCCTTTAATGTACTGTGGTGAACACAGACCTTACTTCACAATCCATGATACTGAATTCAAAGAGTATACAAAGACTACTCAGCCACCACCTCCTATTATTCTTGGTGTCACAAATCCATTTTTCTCAAAAACCTTGCAACATTGGCCACATATTATCAAATTGCCAGAGGCTGCAAAACCATCAACTTTACAGAAAAATAAAATTAAAAAGGGAGTAGTAAAAGCTTTTGATAGTAAATCTGGTGTTTATACTCAATACGAACCATTTTTGCATAAAGATAAGGGTATAGTAAAAAAATTACTGAAAGGTATTCAAACGAACAGACCAGAAGAAGTTCAAAGTGCCCTCTTGAGACGACATCTTCTGGAATTGACACAAAGTTTTATGATACCATTAGAAAGGTACATGTCAACGCTTATGCCTCTTCATAAAAACATTTCTCCCTATAAAGCTGCTCCATCTCCTTGGCCATTTAATCCTGAGGCATTTATTGCTACCTTGGCCAAATCTGGTCCTCAGCTGACTACAGGTATCAAAGGAGATTGGGAAGGTCTTTATAGGAGGTTTTTCAGAAGTCCCAATTTCATTGGATGGTATAGTACACGAAGTAAGTCCATGAATGAGAAGCTTCAGATATTGCAGTTAGAAGCCTTGTCAGAAGCAGATCTCCGTCAATGGGTACAAGGTAAAGAAGAAGTGGAGGTTGTTGACATGATTATCAAAATACGCTGCAAGCTTGAAGAATGTCGCATCAGAAATGTGCGAATAAGTGATAATGTTTGTAAACAACTTCAACAGAGAATGGATGAAATAGTTTGTACATTGCCGGATGACCTTAGGTCAGTCCTCAACTCGAAGCCTAGCTGACCGTTACTTGACAACTCTGATAGTTGCTCACTGTGTCTCATTTTTACATAAAGAATCAAAATATATTTGAATGTCAAACTATATTTGCCATATCTGTATATATTTCTGTTAAAGTGTGTGTGAGAGGCAGGTAGGTCTAATTGTAAATACTCACTAAGTTTAAGAATTAACTTTCTATTTAAAAATTATTTTTGTAGTACCTGGGATCATATTTTGACAAAAAAAAAAAAAAGCAACAAGTAAATTGCATATTTAATTTTTTTAAAAATGGATCATGAATTCTTTTCTTAAAAATGGTTCTACTTCAATGTGAAAATGTAAATAATAAACTAAGAATAGTTAATAGTTATTAACCCTTTATACACCATTGGTTTCATTGCCAAACCATTTTTATGTACATTTTTATGCAAAGCATAATTACAAAAATTATTGTACATAAGTGGATTCATATCTAATTACTTAATATTATTAAAAATTGATTGGAGTGCAATTGACACTTAAATTTGTGCAATTAAAGGGTTAAATTTGTGGTATATTAAGAGGATTGAGATATTCTTAATTTGTGAAGAACTTGGAATTCAAAATTCCTATTTATCAGCTAAGCTAATTAAAATTGTGTGTATAATATTATAGCATAATGTGCCAAAAAGAGAAATTCTAATTCATTCCATATTTGTGATAAATCACATCAATGAATATTTGGTATCTTTTGTTTTGTGATCATTAAATATTTGTTCTCCAATAAATATTAATTATTAGGGTACATCCTTACAAAGGCATTTGTTAAGAGAGTTAACACATATTTACGGAGGTTGTGGATATGTCTTGTGATTGAAATATTTTTGATTATTTCCATTCGAACTTCTTAGAGAATATTAAAAGTTATTTAAAATAGATAATTTTTAAGATGATGAATTTTATTTATTAATTTTAATCAAATTCATGTAAATATATCATGGTCTCAGGTCCATGACTTTATTAAGAGATTATAAGAATTTGTCATTTGTGTGTTTAAAGAATTGTGAGAAGATTATGGTTTAGTGGAGACATAGAAGGGGTAGTGTATACAGAACCCTTCAGTTTGTCATGTTAAGAACTCTGACATTTCTATTTAGATTCTAAATTTTGACACTAATTTGTTGTTCACTAAATCTATTTGCGAAATTCTTTCATTAATTTTTAAAATTAAGTTTTGCTCAAAAGATGCATTTTAATGATTTTTGGTTTTGAGTATTAAAAACATATTCTATCTCACCTGTTGATGTATTGTAAATCCATACTATTTACTAGTTCCATATGTTATAATTTATTCCATGAAAACCTTTCTTTCATTATTTTTCATTTCATCTATTTATTGTAATTTATTTGATAATCAGCCTTGTACAGTCATGAAAATTCTTAATTGACTTACAGGAGATCTAATCCTTTATCTCATTGAGAATTATAATAAAAGTGTATAATTACTTATTATTTTATGATGTAAATGTTTGTACTTTGGTTTAAATTCATTCATGATTAAGGTTTGCCTCACCATACACCAGTGATCATAGTTTTGTTTTAAAAAATAAGAAGTATTTGTAGCTATTTCAAAGCTTGATGTATCTACTGTAAGTGCAAAACGTTGTATGTGATAATGAAGTCTTTTTACTGAATTGAAATAACTGATAATTGCTTTATGATGTATTAACATAATTTAATATTTTATTTCCCTCTTTTACTTTCCATAGTAGCAGACTGCTTATAGCAGTTGCACACTACAAAATGTCACCTTTAGTTCAAATAGAAAAAAAATCGGAAAATTTTTCATATGACCTTTTGCACTAACAGTAACGATATCTAAAACTAATTTCATTTATCATTATAGAATTGCTTTGATATTATTTCCTGTAACCTTAATTTACTGACATCCTTTTATGACTGATATCTTATTTTGCTTTTTATATTTAATGTATTGTAGATCTTTGTTTATTTTCATGGCTTTCTGGGATTTAGAAGCTAATTTTTAGTTATTTACTAATCTCCTATTTTTCCTTTAAGAGTTATTATTTTTAGTAGAAGTTTTTATTTATTTTTTCTATCCTGTTGAAGCTTAATTGTAATGTTTACATTATTTGTTAGAACAAAGAATTTTTAATTGACCTAGAATATTAGTAAATTTAGCTCTTGATCTTCCAATTCATGCTGCAAATTCAGTTGTTGTTTTTTCTTGCAGAATTATGCCATTGAAACTATCATCAAAATTAATATCTGCATGATCAGACCTAACATATTCTTTTCATTTTGCCTTTGAAAACCTTGTTGATATTTACATTGCATATTCAGGTGATTCACTATATCATTTCTTCAATCATATATACTGGATGCAGATCATACTAACATGTGATGTGTAGTTAGTTGCCTAACTTGTCCTGTCAGCTTACTTTTTTAAATCTAATCATGTTCTATAATATAATACTTTGTTTTCAAAATCCTGAAGGTGTTCTTCCCAAATCTTTGTTGAGTATATTTTGGTTGAGTATGTGATTAGGTATAGTGGAATGATATACTGTCTCTAGTTGTTACATCCTTACAGTTGACGTGAGAAGTACTATATTTGGTCTAGAAGTATGTGGTCTTGTTTTTTCTGTCCTGAGGATGCCTGAATCGGTGATACTTTGACTGATTAGTTGTTTACTAATATTTCAGAGACTCAAAGCTTTGTGTTTGGAATCTAACAGTTTAATCTTAGCATATTTACATATATATGTTTCTTTCGTTACCTAAACTTTGCAAATGATTGGATTAGCAAATCATTATCTATTGTACAACCATAATACAGATCGGATATATATATATATATATAAGAAGTCATTTATGACGGCTTCACTTATCTTTCGTGTTCCTAATTTTGTATGTATGTTTTTTTATTTTCAAATGACTTATTTAATATAAGTAACTAAGTACATCACTTCATTATGACATGTTTTTATAGAACTTTCCTTTTGTTGTATTTCTTATTTATTTCTTTTTATTAATCAAAATAGGATCTTAATCTTAAGTAGGATCTTTGACAGTTATTCTGAATTTTAGTTGTTCCATTTTACTCTATTCTAATAGATTTAAGTGGTTTTCAATGAAGACGGACTTATTAAAAATTGCCTTAAGGTAATAGGATGTAAAAATCCATTATTCCTGCTCTTTAATTTTAAATATATTAAACAAATAATAATATATTTTTATTTTACAGTGATATATGTTACTGTTAAAATTAGAAATATTCCAAAATATTGTTGTAATTTTGGAAAAATATTTAATATTATTTATGCTCAATAATCTTTTTTGTCAATCTAAAATTTTTTTTGTATTTAAGTACATTAACTATTCCAATTCATGTACCTATATATTTTTTGTTTGGCTCACTAAAGTTTTCATTTTTAAACTAACTTTTTAATAAAAGTTATATTAAAACTTTTAATATTGAAATAAAAGGTTTATTATAATTTTTTTAATTTTGAATTTTCTATAAAAAAATGATGAGAACATTTCAATGCTAATGCTCGTGTAATATAATTGAATTGGTTATTTCAGTAACATTAAATATATTTTGAATATTTAATAGACGAAAATTGGATTGTTAAGGAAGGAGATGGTCCCGGGTGGCAGTAGTAAATAGACTAAATAGTGGCAAAACTATTTTATTATAATTTTAATAAGCTTATTCACATTGTTTATAATTTTTTGTCTAAATATTATGTAACTTTCACAATTCTCTGTATCTTTTTGTATCTTGTCCATTGTAGCCCTGAAGAAGACCTACAAAGTCGGGTCGAAACATTGGCTTTTAATAAAATATTTTTGCCACTATTTAGTCTATTTATGACTGCCACCCCGGACCATCTCCTTTCTTAAATATATTTTATAGGTTTTGAGTGGTGAATTGTTCTTAGTACATTTTTCACACACACATTTTTTAATACATAAATAGAGTAAAGATTGATTGTTTACACTAGATATTTAATAATGTGTAAACAATTTTCAGTCCTGGTGATGACCCACATGCTTGAATTTAAATTTCGGCACCAATAAAAAACCTTTAAAATGACTGCGTCCTGACTATTTATCACCCATGAAATGTAGAGCAGTCGACTAACTTCCTTCAATAAATGATAGTAACCATTTGTTGAAAATTCCATTTGCTTGTAGATTGGATAAATAAATATTGCATGAAAATATAAATAAATAAAATTCACACTGTTCAAAATTGGTGAGGATAAAAAAAAAATGTAAATGTAATAATCTCGTTCATTAGGAAATAAGTAATAAAAAAATTAATACTTGTAATTTGTTTGCAATTTCTGTCTTAAATTAGCCTTTAACTAAAAAGATTAAGAGTTTTATTGTACAAATTATTGATTTATTTGCATTAAAAAGTATGAAACTTTAAAACTTGGATGAAAAAATATATATTTATATGGCCTGAAATAAATGATACATATGAACATTACTGAATTTACAGTTTATAGTTTTATCAATAAATAATATATCATTTGAACGTTAGTACCTGAAATGTTTAATTAATTCTATAATAGATTGTAGTACCTGAGACCATATATTATTGTTTACAATGATAGTTGGTGCGTTTGCCATACTATTAGTCTTTATCAAACTCCTTTTTATATAAAATTATAGAATTATGTAGACTAGATGTTGAATCAAGTACTGGAAGGGCAGTGCAGTGTAAAATACTAAATAAATTTTTGTATCATATATCACTGTGAATGTTGATTAGCTCAATCTGTCATGACAAAATGACTTATAAGAATATCTTAATTGTATTATCAATCTATTGTATAAATATAGAATAATTTGTATATTGAATGTAGTTACCAGTGAATGAAGAAACTAGTTTATTTATTGATTTTGTTTTCCTGTCTTTATTCCTGAAATATAAATGTGATTTATATGTTGTTGTTTTTCTGTAAATACATTATCACACACTTACTTTTTTTTTTTAATGCGTTTAAATTTATCAGAAACTTTATGTAAAAAATAATTGAAACCTTATCAACATTATTTTAGAAAAAGTGTGTTTAGTGGGGTTTGACTTACTGGGGAGATACTAAGGAAATTTAACAATGTAAGAAAATTACTCTACATAACCATCCCAAATATTTTTGAATGACTTCTTGTAATAAATAAAAATTTCGATTACTTACAAAAAATTTCTCTTTCCTAACTATATATAGAATTATTGGCCTTTTTTTATTCCAAGGATATAGCTATATATTCATATCATTTTTTAGAGGGTCTTCCTTGCTGATCACTTGAATTTCTTATTTAATTAAGGTTTTTCTACTGAGAGAGAGTAACTTTTCTCTTCATTTCGTTTCAAGAGGGTAGCATAACGTTTGTTTAAAACTAAAATCAGTAAATCATTTTAGCTAAGTCCTATCTGTTTAGATCTTCCTTTTTAGTGTCAACCTTTGTCCTATATTTATCATAAATAATGTATAGCAGTTGGGAATACAATTAGTCAGGGAAGAAACTTTTTTTTCTATTTTAAAATTTTCATTTTAAAACAACAAATGAAATGTAGATGTTGAACTTTCATCATTTTAAAAATGTCAGGACTATTCAATTTAATTTCATTCTCAATAAGTAAAATTTTTTAAAAACATTTTTCATTTGGATTAGCCCACAACTTCCATTGAAGTCCTATTTCCCAGCAAAAATTGAAATAACTCATTTCTTTGTTTTTTCTTCCTTTCTTGACAATTAGCAAGATGCCAAAATTTTCATGATGGTGTATTAGTAGCTGACTGTGAGAATGGTTTTAATTTCCATAATTAGAACATATTCTACTTAAACAAAAAGTTATTTCCCTCCATTTTGTTTTCTTATTATTTGAAATTCTTTAGGTTTTATTATCATTAAGTTTTTGTAAAACATTGAATTTTTTTATATATTATAATTTTGGACTTTTTCATCTTTTGGAATTTGTAATAATGCTTAAAGAGGAAAATTAAATAAAAAGAATTCCAATTTTTTATTTATTTTTTTGTTCAATAACCAATGATGAATCATCAACAAAAACTAAAATAAATATTTGTGTCTTCAAAAATATTTGTTATCCATCATTGGCCATGAACTGATCTCTTTTATTATATAATAATCATACATAAAAGAAATCATTTACTGATAAAACATCAGTCTCTTATCATGTAAATTCCTTAAAAAATAGACGATCTTTCCAAAAGAAAGGGGACCAAAAATAAATAAAAAGTATACAAAGAGAAAACAATTCACAATAGAAAGGAACAAACTACTTAACTTAAAGCTATGTATATACTTCTAATTACAAATATTAGCTTAACAAATTCAGTTTACAATCTCCTGAGGTATTATTTACACTTAGGCTGTAGTTATTATGCATCAGAATTTATAAGGCCTTCATATCAGAATAAAATGACATTTTTTTCACTAATATCTGTATCAAATTTGTCACATTTTCTAATCAGTATATTGGTTGGCGTAAACTAAGAAAACTTTTCACCCTTGTCTGAAAAAAGACATTTTGGTGTTAAAAAGTTAACAATTGTGAATTGAGTATTTTCAATGAACTACTGGTCATCTCGTCATATAAACTTTCTAAATTCTTATTTTCCCATACAGATTTAAAATATTGTCATATCCTACCACATTAAGGATGCAGGCATGTCCAGCAAGAACTTTGATCCACATATACAACTATATTGCTTTTTTATAAGATTTTACAAAATGAGGAAGCACTCCATTCTAACAATTATGAACAATTAGTGGCAGCATCTTATGAATTCTGATGCATCTTAACCTTTATCTTATAGATTAAATATAGTACACTGACACAGGTATGTATATATATATATATAAGGTTTATACACTCACTGGTCATACTTGCTGACCTAAAATTTATATTTACAATTATAACAATCAATTAGTTAATTAGATAAGTTGAGTCTAATACTGGTCAAAGTATATTCGAGTATTTTGTTAGGGTAACTTCACCTGGACTACTGTGGCATTGTTTCTGGAATACATTTAGAGAAATCTTTACTGTCTCTCAAAATTTATTTTTGACAGTATCTAGTTTAAATAGCCAAAACGAATGATAGCTTTTTTAAGAAATAAAATTATAACAGCGAAAAAAATGCGATCAATCGTGATGGCACTTAAATAATAATTTGACGCAGTACCGTCAAATGAAGTTATTTATAATATTAAAATGAAAGTGTAGAAAAATTAAACTAAAAAAAAAATAAATTAAAAGAAAATATGAAAAATGATCTATTAGTTATCCTAACACAACATCAATACACAGAGTATCCTAACTGTTAATTCAAAAGGCACTAAACGAGCTCTAAACATTGGAATGATTTATCACAGGTGAGAGCACCTAAATTTATTTTCTTGCTTAAATTTTATTTGTTTTAGGTTTGTATATTTCACAGTCTACAGAATGTGGATTCGTCTGTGATTGTTCCATGTTTATGAAGCATGTCTTATTTCCTGGCAGCCACTTATAGATTTTTCTTGCCCATGGATGAACTAATTTTTCATCGTAGCTATCTTCATCTGATTCTGTAATACAAAAATAATATTTTTAATATTTTAAAACAAAACAAAATAAAATGTTATTTTATGAAATTCATTTTTAAACACATAATTGTAGAGATCTGAGAGTCTTTCCAAATTCTTTTTAATTTAGTTGAAAAAAATAATTGAAATTGTAAATTTTTTAACTTAAATAAAATATATTAATAATGATTGTACTTTCATACATACAAAAAAAAATAAAGAAAATTTACTTACTGGTAACGAGGCTGACCAGAAGACCAATAACAACTGTTATCACGGTTCCCAACAGTGAATAGTACATGTATGTTACTAGGTAAATAGAAGTTAAAAAGTCACTGTAAAAAAATAATAGTAATTAGTTCCTTACTTATTGTTAACTAAATTACCTCTAAATTTAATTATAACATTTCAATAAACTTATTAATTATTGAGTAATTTATAACATTCTTATTTATATCTATATATTTCAGCTCTCCAGTTCCTATTTTACGTCTATGGTTGAAACTTGGTTTTCACTCAGATCTTTCATTTGTTGGGCAACAAAAAATTTGATTTTAAATTATAGCTAATTTTAATTGTATTGTAACTAAATATAATTGTAATCCTGTAGAATGCATTAAGCAATACTGGACATTGTTAATGCTTTTTTTCCCCAGAATTTTACATTTGAAAACTTGATTACAAAAACATAGGATCCAAATATTATTTTGAAATATAAAAAAAAAAAAAATTACTGAATGGTTGCTTACTGTGCACAGTAGCAGAACATTTAGGCCAACTTCATTATTCATGCACCTAAGTCTGGTAATTTTATGACAATAGTTTTGTCCTCATACAAATTTTTTATGATTTGATTAAACTTAATCTTGCATTTTCAAATATTTAAGATTAATGCTCAGTTTTAAGGGCTGTTTAGTTCCGAAAGCAGTACAAACTGTTTGAAGAAACAAGTATTTGGTGCATAGCTGCCATCTGTTCTGGCAGGAAGTGGCAAGTCCAAGAGGGATATTACCATTTTCTCAAATTTAGGATTGCTAAACGGTTAACAAATCTAGACTGATAAACATTTTTTATCAATCACATCGCTTATTCATTGTTGCAATCAAGTCATTTTTTCATATTTTTGTCCATAAATCCAATGCATTTAGCCTGTCCCCACATCCTGCTAATTACAAACTTCATATATATCTGACAGATAACATGTAGAATATAAGAAATTAATTAGAGTGATGATAATAGTTAAATTCCAAGGTAAATAACAAAAAAAAAATTGTTATTTATTCATCGAGATGGTCAAATATAAAGATTGACACAGGTTCTAATTCACCCTACAGATGTCAGTTTGGTTAATTTTCTGATTATCTCTATTTTCTTAACCTAGCTTTAAGACATTGCAACTGGAAAACAAGAAGAAGCTTTGAAGGCACTCAAAACATGGAAATAACTAACTTGGGAAGATTACAGTTAATCTTGATGTCAGGATAATGACTTGGACATGATATACCAGATTCTGTAGCTCTTGAAGAGTCCGATAAAACTTTAAAGGAAATTGATAAATAAGTTGACCTTTTGAAAGATAAAAATAATAATAATAATAAAAAGGTGCTATAGGAAATGGAGAGTGAATTCTAACCAATATTCCACTGATTTCAGCTTAACCACACCATAGTGCCTTGCCTTTCAGCAAAAACAATGGACTCAATGACTGTTTTTAATGAATTCATTGTAATGATAATTTATATAAAGTACATTCAACCCTCTCTCTTTTTTTTTAATCCCAGTATTTTTGAAACTATAGTTATTTAACATGAAGAGGTTTCTATATAAAGGAATATAGCTTTATTTATTAAAACAAAACTACTTACTTGTCGTGAGCTGCTGGGTTGACAACTGGATCAATATCAAAGTCCTCTGTCCAAACAGGATCTGTATGGTGGGGAAGTGGAGGAACATTAGGTGAGAATGTCGTGTTGGTACAACCATCCACAGATACTGGCAAAAGAGGAATTGGAGGTCTTTCAACAGTAAGGTGCCCAAATGTTATCCACATAACTACAGCATGACTGGTGATCATTCCTAAAGCTGCTCCCTGTAGAGTAAAATTCTATCAATTTAACTCTCAACTGGTAACATACTACAATATGCACTGCAAGTAACATATGTCTGACCGACGCAATCCATGTATTCTGGCAGTTTAAGGCCATTTATTGAATAAAATGTACCCCAACCATATACATTTTAAATCTAAACAAATTTTTACATTTGAAAATTTTACCTAGAAAAAAGTTATACAATTAATTTTTTTTTTTCATTTTGGAAATTGAAACGTTTACATGGTAAAATAATTGAAATGATAATAAAGGTGAATCTCTTACACAGAGATCCAGCGTTTTGTGGTGGTGCATTATGGCTGCAGTGAGATTTAATACAATTTACCATTATTATTTTGATCTAATTACAATCTATTGTTTTGCATACGTTTGTACTTCATAATACCATGTATTAGAAAGGGGAATAACAAACATGAGTAACGTTTTCTGTTCACAGTTAGAAAAAAAAGGTTGTTTATAATATAGAGTAATTACCTTCCAGTTGGCCGGAGGGCAAAACATAGCCAATAAGAATACACCCAAAAGTGGTCCACTAGTGGCGGATGTCATGAGCATGGATGCTTCTATCACACCTGACAGCATAGCAACAACAAAAGCGATACCCAAAATCATCAGCCCACAGACTGCACCTGATGTAAACATAATATGCATAAATATATCATAGTTAAATTTAACTAAATAAAATAATAATTACATCAGTTAATAACTTACCAAGAGCCTTGATAAACCATAACTGGGCTTTCTCACTAATATCCTTAAAGGCAGGAATCAAGAAGAAAAAGTCTTCCCACATGACAATAGCCAAGGAGTTAAGATTAGAAACCAACAAACTGAAAATACACAGACATCTTTAAAATTTGAAATCAACAAATATAAAGGTTATGGAAGAAAGATAACACTCCTAAATGCTAGATTCATATTGAAAGTTTGATTTAAAAAAATTACTTTTTTTAACTACTATGGGGAACATTATCCAAAGTTTATGTGTTTAGATTGACTGCTATAAGGTATATATAGATTTTCATTATGTTCGGATTTGGAAGAAGCCATAATAGATTTGGGTTTTATATTATTTACAAAATGAGAGAGGAAGGGGAAAAAGCTGGGCCATTTTATATATTATTTGGGACAATTTGACTATGATGAAACAATGATGGATGTTTAACTGTTTTTTAGTATTTAGTTTCTATCAGAATCTGTGATAATCGACACCTTAATTATTCTTAATAAATTTACTTTCTGGAAAGTGATTATTTTTTGTATCTTAATCATCATCTTTCTATATGATCTTCCCTCAAATAGTTAAGTCCTGGATTAAAACTGTGAACTTTTCTCAGTAGCCAGAATCTCAGTCTTCCTGAAAACCCCCATACTACTGTAGATATCGGTTGCTACGTCTGAGTTTTCATCAGATCTGCTTCCTTATGCATCCCAGTTCATAGTATATTTGAAGGATATGCTTTCTGTTTTGGTCTCCAGTTGTGCATCTACAGAAAGAACCTTCTCAAATAGTTAAATTTCTTTTTGACATTCTTCTTTTCACCATTTGCTCTTTCCTGCTCATCTTAAAGGAGACATCATTTCATCTTTCACGTATATATATCTGGAACTTACATCCTGGAGAGATTGAATGGAGTTAACTTGAAGGTATGGGGGGGGGACTCTTTCCTTTGCAATTCAGATAAGGAATATTCAATTTAAAGTAGTAATTAGCCAAACAATTCCAGGATTGAGTCAACATCTGACGAATTTTAACATTTAGCGCAAATAAGATATTTGAGATTCTATTTTTAATGATTTCTGATTAGAATATAACCTAATTTTACCAGACCAAGTATCTTAATAACTAAACAAGTTTTTAGTAATAATTTAAGACTCACTTCATAGCTCCATTGAAAAGACAGGCCATTATTAGCCCCAGGAATCCAGGCAGAAAGTAAAATTTGTCCTCGACATAGAATGGAAGAATTTCATCTATGTTTGTGATGTAACCAAGTGCTCTAGGATCACAGTCAGCATAATTGGCATAGATAACCATACCAACAACCCACGAACTTGAGAATAGAAGTGTCATGATTGGTATATTTGCCATAAGAGTCCTGCAAAAGAAACTTTCTATAATTTTTCTAACATTAAATTATCTGAGTTAAGTTCATCAAACAAAAACTAATAAATTCTTGAAGGAAGTTAGTTGACTGTTCTACATATCATAGGGGATAAATATTCAGGACGCAGTCTTTTTTAAAAATTTTTATTTTTGGCAACATTTCAACCCAAACATGTGGGTCCTCTTCAGGGCTGATAATGTATTTTAAAATTACAATCAGAGATATAATAGTATACGACCGCTAATTATAAATAATAAACTATAGTGATTGATGGTACATGAATCTTAACTAATATTGCAATACACATATTAAAATTAAATATTTAAACAAACTAAAACTAAATAATAAAAGAAAATAATGTATATAATCCATTTTTATAAATTTGTAATATTTTCTCTTACTAACCGTGGTTTGAGCACTGAGGGTGTTCAAGTACTGACAACATGTTTAGTAGGTAAGTAAAAAGGTCAGGGGTGGAGAATTTCCCAGTTGTCCTTTTTCAGATAGCAAAAGGTGCTTGTTACTAACCACGGTTAGTAAGAGAAAATATTACAAATTTATAAAAATGGATTATATACATTATTTTCTTTTAATTTTTATTTTTAGTTTGTATAACTATTTATATATTTAATTTTAATATGTGTATTGCAATATTTGTTAAGATTCATGTACCATCAATCACTATAGTTTATTATTTATAATTAGCGGTCATATACTATTATATCTCTGATTGTAATTTTAAAAAACATTTTCAGCCCTGAAGATGACCCACGTGTTTAGGTTGAAACGTTGGCAAAAATAAAAAAATTTAAAAAAGACTGCGTCCTGAATATTTATCACCCATGATATAATATAATTGAAACTTAGTGATTTTATTATATGTAAAAATATGAATGGTTTCTTTACTTACTGTGTAACTTTCTTTTGAGAAGACATACTGCAGTACCTTTGCACAAAATTCTGCTGACAGCCAAATATTGAAAGAGACATGAATAATTGCCCAATAATAGCAGAGACAGTAGTTACTCTGATCGTAGGGTCCATGTCAAAGCTGAAAAGAAAGTGTTTTATATGATTAGGTACATTTCATCAAAAGTACAGAGGGAAAATATACATGTTAAAATACAAAAAAATAAATGGAGTATTAATTTAATTGTAAATTTTGATTAACATTTATACAAGTATTTAATTATTAATCAATCCAACTATATAACTATTCATATAATTAAAAGGAAGTGTATCTGAATGACCTGCTAAGAAATTAGTTACCAATTATTTTCTAGGAAGTATTTTAATTGCTATAGAAATGTATGGAAACTAATATAACTTTTGATATTACATGAGATTTTGTTTCATTATAAATCAACTGATAAAGCACAAAATACTTACTTGAAGAAGTCTAACCGATCATTATGATAAGATGTATTAACAACATTCACTACGCCTCCTGCAGTGATTGTTCCTTGAATGAGAATAACGACACTACAGCCAAGCATAACCAACAGCTGGATCACATCAGCCAAAATTGCGGTCCTCAAACCTCCCTAAAATAGCATATTTTTATGAACGATTTGTCATAGTACTATTATCAAACCTAAAATATTGCATCATCCTTATAGAAGAAATATTAGGTCATTTTTGAAGTCATTTGTAATTCAAATGACTTCCATTAAGAAAGTCATGCTTAGTAATAAACATTAATAAATTTCTGGTGTTGCTACAATTTAATACAATGAATAAACTCACCATCATCACAAAAAATATGGAAATGGAAACAATGGCTGAGATTGAGGCCCAATACGGAAGTCCAATGACAGTCTTCAAAGCCACACAAGGGGTGAAAACAGTTACTCCAAGATTGAGGATACTTCTGAAGACATAGGTACCAGAAGCAAGACATCGGACAAGGCGTGATTTGAACCTCAGATCCAAATACTATAACAAAATTTAAATGATACATTATATGCAAGACATCTGGTTATATTTATATTTATTTAAGACTAGTTTTAGTTGGTATGTTTTTTTGGCATACCTTTATTTATATTATCAGCTTTATAAAGGACTGATGTTTAATGTAACACATTGTTTAAATTAGAATTTATGGCAGTCTGGAACACATTAATTTGTTTTGAAAATAAAAAAATTAACTACTGACTTCTAAAGGTCAAAATTTTAAATTTGATAATTAGTTTTGTAAAATTTCAAATTAAAGCTTTTCAGAGTATATATTCCTCTAAATTTTATATGCCATACTTTTCTATTATGTAATGCTATCCTTATTATAAGAAACAAATTGTGTTTTTTGCTGACATCCTGTCTTAAGTTCAATGGTTTTGTAAATCATTTGTTTTTAACAGAGTAAATATCAGTTGAATATTATGGATATATCAGATTTATTGGGTGATTGATATACCTGATAAACTGATGTTGTGCTGAGGCTGTAGTACACAGGTACAAAAAAAAAGCAGACTAATGGGTATGCTAAAATCATCCCATAGAGTATCTCCCACATGGAACTGCCCCTGTAGTACAACTCGGATGGATATCCTAAACACAAAAAAATGTAAAGTATTGTAATACAAAATTATGAGTACATTTAATTATTTATTTGAATTTAAACCTTAGGGAGTCATTTCTATCCTGTCCTAGACAATAAATTATATAATTTATATGTAAATCATACAACTTCAAAGTTATATTACAAAAAAATCAAATAACAAATCCAGAAATTGTAAACATACTGAAGAAGTAAATCTTATCGAGTGACACAGTTTACCACAGTCCAAAGAATACAACCCTATTGCACGAAAAATTGCAAGATGGGAAAATGAAGAGTTTTTCCTGAATTTTCAAGTTACTAATTGTGTCCAATAGTTACTAATTGTGTCCAATATTTTCTGTTTGCTATTTTATAAGCAACAATATTTATAAATAAATGTGTAAACTTTATTCATAAAATGTAAGTTTGTAAAAATAAAGGCTCTGACCTACTTATTTTTTTGTTTTCTCATCCTCCAACGATTTTATTACAAAAATATAATATATACACATATGTATTTTTATTTTGTAACTGTTCATTAGTGTTATTCTAAGGGGACATCTTCCCAGAATAACGTTTATTTTCTATTCTATTCCTGTTTCTATACATATATATCTATTTCCGATTTTCTTTGTACTGTCTCAAGGTATTTTAAGGTAGGAAGAACTATGCATTGAATCAGTAACTATGGTGGTATATGTCTTCTTGCTTACATAGAGTGGGAATGGACCACTCTGATAATTCATTCATTTATTTTTTTTCTACCCCCCAAAATGTTTATTTAATTAAACTACGTATATGTAAGTATAATAATACAAATAACAAAGTCCTTCCACTTTTTATTTATTGGGCATTTTAAGTATTGGGGATAGGTAAGGGTAACATATGTGGCACAAGGCCTTGTAACTTTCATTAAACGGGGAGGGATCGTTTTTCTGGTTATTTATTATTTAAAAAACTTAAAATATATACACATTAATGGGTTTGGACCGCAGAGTTCAGACCACAATCATTCGGCGAGTATGACCACCAAAGGGAGTTTATCTTACCACCTCCCAGGTCTGGGTGGTGGTGAGATCTCATAAAACAGTGGGTTGGCACAGGCCTTCAGCCCATCAAAAAATATGATGTGCCTCCGGCCTATGAACTCAAGTACTGAGGGGAGCTGGAGCTCTTCGCGTATTGTTTGATTCTTAGCCCTTTGTGCCTAGGTGCCACGGACAATTCGCCAAAGGATAGAGTTCTGGAAGCCCTGTAGACTCGTAAGCGTGGATTTATATAGGTATCGCATGAGAGAGGTCCCGTGGAGCAGTGTAGGTCTTATTATAGCTTTATAAATTTGGAGCTAGAGTCACAGCGAGAGCTGCGGCGACTTCAGTAGGTGGTAGAGCCGGTGTGACTTACCAGCTTGATCCTCTACCTAACGTGATTGGAAAAGGTTAAATGTCTATCCAGCGTGACGACAAGGTAGACAATGGAGGTGGAGATTTTATGATCAGCCCCTCAACCGGTGAAGTGTGTGTGGGTAGATACTTGTTTCTCTTCTGGAACGACATGACAATAGCATCAGTCTTCGCAGGGTTCATGCTAATACCGATCGTTTCTAGTTCTTCAACAATTGTGGCTGAAGCATTATGTGCCAGAGTGAGTGCAGTCCCCGCGTTGACGCTGGAAGCACATATGCCAATGTCGTCCGCATAGGCTGCTACCACCGCCTTTGGATGCTTGAGTGCCACCACTGGCGCCGTGAAAACGACGAACAGTATTGGCCCCAACACAGACCCTTGAGGTACTCCGCAGGTGGTATCGACTGGGTTTGAGTAGTCTGTACCAACTCGTACGACGAGAGATCTTCCGCTGAGGTAGCTTCGAATCAGTCGGCATAGAGTGGCAGGAAACCTGTACTCTATAATTATTATTTAGGAAGCTATAATTCATTTTTTTTTTCATACCCCTAGGAATTTCTTTATTACAAAATACAATATATATATAAATATTATAAATACATAATGTTTTAATTTCCTTTTATTGCCCAAGGTCATTTTAAGGTAAAAGGGCTATGCACGCTGTATGCGTACTTTGCATAATTCATTTATAATTAATGACTAACTTTTAAACTGATCCTAGTGTTCAGTGTAAGCGAGATATACCGAAAGCATAATTTGAAAACATGGAACATATGCTTTTAGTTAAATTATCGATAAATGCTAAATACAATACGATATATTATGATTGTAAACAAATTCAATTTTCCACTAGGAAGAGAAAGATGTACCCAGTTAGCCTTGCAAGATAAATTCAATGCGTGAAATAAATGCGCGTCAACATGTCTTCTTAACAGAAACATATTTACTGTCACCCTGAAGGTAAACAACTCCAACCATCATAATTGTACTCTATATAAGTATGCTGGTTCTTTTATATTTCTCTCTTAGTATATTCGCTCAGATAATTATTAGCACCCGTGTTATAGAAGAATGACCCTCTGACAACAGTAATTATTGGTTTCTTGATGTGATCTGCCTTGAAAGTAAGAAATGAAAGATTAATGAAACGTCTGTTTTATAAAGGGAATAATTGGTCCAAGAAAAAAAAGGCATGGTAGTGAATTATACATAAAATCTTGAAATGCTTTTCCTTTATAAAAATTAAAATGAGAAAATCGCTTAAAAATTATTCGACTTCGTAGTGAGTTAAGAATGTAAAACCAGCCGGTGACTTCTACAAGTTTTTGCATATCTTTGGACTAAATTTTATGAACATTATGTTCTTGCTCCAGGATTGAACGCTCTTGAAAGCGTCAATGTTTTTCCTATCAAACTAAAGAGATCTAAGACAAGGAGAATATGAATCGTAAACTTTTTTTTATAAATCTGAAAACATTCTTTCGTTTTTACTTTCATTAATTGAAACATTTTCGTTTTATGTAATTTTTCTTGCGACGTCTTATTAAATAAAAGCAAGGCATAATGACCTTTTAACCCACATTATTGGATCTCATTAAAACCTTATTTGTGACTCATTTATTTATTAACACTCAATGTTAACACCTGTTAGCTGAGAGTGAATTTCACAGTAGGGTAAATGCACCCAGAGGCGAATCTACGAGAGGGGTTTTCGGGCTGAAGCCTTCCTCTTCCCCTCTCCCAAAATGGTGAAATATAAACATGTCTCTAACAATATAAACATGGTGAAATATTAAAAAATCACTTAAACATTATTTCATATATGAGGAGTTGGTCGGGAGATGTGGTCAAATAAATACTAAATTTTCAAAATAGTATTTTCAATTGTTACGCCGACGTTTCATATAGGTAGTTAGTTTCTTTATTTTCTTCCTAAGTAATTGTCGCTATATATTTTTTTAAAAAATCTCTCGGGCTGAAGCACTCCTTCCTCCCTCCCCCCAAACTAAATCCTAGATCCGCTAGTGAATGCACCAGTAGCTGACATCCTTCAGGAAATTTGTTTGAACATGCGGTCATAGACTTCGACTACGGCTTGAACTCCTTCCCTCCTCCCCAATCCTGCCGTGGTGGGCGCTCAGTCTCCTCCACAAATTGCTATGGTATGGACCATGAACATATAGATCATGTGCATCACAATTCCATTACAAAGGATTGTACCTATCTAGTATCAGGTATAGTAGAAGTTGTTTAATGGTGTCTATTGTGGATTTATAAACTCACCTAGACTCACTAGCGGATCCAGGATTTAATTTTGGGGGAGGGCTTCAGCCCGAAACCTTTTTTTTTTTCATAAAAATAACGATAATTACTTTGGAAAAACAGAAAGAAACTAACTACCTATAGGAAATGGTGTTTATGTTATTCCTTAAGTACTTTTAAATGTAATTACACGAACAATAATGCTTTAAGAGGTATTTTTTAATTTTTTTTCCCATAAAACATGGTTGTATTTTTCCATTTTGGAGGGGGCTTCAGCCCGAAAGCCCTCCCCCCCCCCGTAGATCCGCCTAGACTGTAAAACAAATCATCTGTTAATACTGTACTGTTTTAGTTTAAAATATTTTGTGTGAGGTGCTAGTTCACATGAGTTCTGCATGGATTACGCGTGGTTTACAATCACTTCGGTCACACTTGTTCATCGAGTGTCGAATGCGTTCGGGTTTACTCGAAAGAGAACGAAGGCGACCGATCTCTTGAGTCGGTTATTATTAACTTTTCAGCCATTTAATTACTTCTATAACCTTAACCATGTTCAGTTACACAGCAGGAGCCGACTTATATTCTTTAGGAAATTTAGGCTACATCATGTAACCTTAATCGAAGTTGTACATTGTATATTATACAGCTGTGGAAAAGAAATAGTAATAGATAAAAACCTTTAATTATTATATCTCTGAATGCTATTTCACGATATTATCTTATATATTATTTCTAAAAGGTGTTTTTTGTCGGTACGCAATAACTTCGTCAATTCTTCATCAAATCCAATGATTGATCATTCATTTTGAAGATATTCACCTTCGAAAGCGAAAAAGAGTCTTTTCCCTTCGAAATTTCTGGAAAAAAAGTTATGAAGGAAAATAAACTTTATTTGTGAATAACTCAAAAAGTATGCATTTTTCTGGTAGTGCCCATGATTATAGAAATATTTCTAAATTACCTACAAAACAAAAAAAAATTATAAAAATCGGACAATTATTAACAAATATTCAGTCCATTATCTTTGGTATACTACATAATTTCTTCCCCTTTAACGATTCTGCATTTACTATTCTACTATCTTTTTTTCCTAGCTGATACATGCTTTACTATTTCTTAAAGGCATTTCTTTGTACATATTATTTTTTGTAATAATTCAGAAAATTCCATGATTGAATCTTTATTTTGAATGTTACCTTTTCAGCCAGCGTTTAGAAATAGGCTCTAGCAAAGCAATTTTTACAAATATTTTGGTTTATTATGTTAAGTGAAATATTGTAATCGATCCAAGAAAAACAATTAATTCCGCCGTACATAATACATAGGATTTATTTATTTCCATATAGTTTTGCTGGTCCTTCACTAAAGAAAATTGTCTGCGAATTATTCGCACGTGCCAACTAGTTTTTCTTATTGATAATTTCCATTATTCATTATCTCGATATTATCAGATGTTTTTCGTTAGATGTTTCTCCAATACGTCAATTCCTTCCTCTAAAATAAACACGATTTTTTTTGTTTGATTTTTACGAATGACTACAATAGTCCCTATTTTCGGACTATTAAGCAAAATAACTATGTATAGCAGGAATTACGCAGATAATTCATTCAATAAAAATAATAGCGAATAAAAATAAATTTTAAGTTATATCTATAACTGGCAGATCCATGGGTCCGTTGGGATTGGACATTATTGGAATAAATATTTATAATAACGATTAATAGATACATTTTATTTATTAATATTGTCCACTTTTCTCGCGCAATCTTTAATCTGACATTATTTTCATAAAAAGCGTCCTTGACAACTTGATAGTGGACTCATATCTAAGAAATCCAAAAAGCTACAGAAGTTCTATGAACGATTTCAAATCCGACAGTATATTCATAAAAAGCTCCAAAATAAAAAAGGCTTGCTAAAATAAATTATAAATTCAATTATTCCAACTTCTATTGAAAACTCGAATTACAAATAAAAAGATCATACCTAACTTCAGATTAATTTTATATAAGCATTTTAATAAAATTTTATTTCTAAAAGCATTTTGTTTTTCACAGGCATTGAAGGACGACTCAAACATTATTTAATATATTTGTTGTTCTTTTTCTTTCAGAGTAATAACCGTAATAATAAGAATTAATAATTAAAAAAATAGTAAATACATAATTCGGTAATAAATTGTTAATAAGGAAGTTCTATGAAGGGAATGCTTTTTTTTTTTTTTTTTTTTTTTTCAAAAATGCATGAAATAGGCACATGTTATATATTGCATATAGGTATACAGAATATATTTCTAACAAAAATTCTCACTCTTTCAGGTTCACCACCAGGTGAAATTATAGTTTGCTCTCTCCTCTCCCCCCCCCCAATAATTTTCATAAATCGGTGCCTATGCACATTATTGGATTCATTTTATAGAACTATTTCTTACGTTGTCATGACACATATATAATCCCTGAAACATTCTCCTAAATTTTTGAAAACTGTAAATTTAAATAATAGTTTTGTTTACATGTAGCAGATACACTGTTTGATTTGGAAAGTTTCTATAGTTGACAGGGATGCCAACAAGGATAAAATTATGCGAAATAAAGTTTTGAAATTGTATATTCTTCATTTTAAAATATTTATTAACAAAAAATGATTATACAGCTTATTTCTTATGTTTACAGGCTTAAATTTATCTGGAAATGTTGGAAACTGTCAAGAACCTGTTTTTGGTGATAGGAAAACCTATAATTTGCTTTGTATTTAATTCACATTAATAACATTTTTTTTTTTAAACGATAGAATATTGTATGGTCCCATTTTTACGATTATATAATTACATCTCTCTTTATTTGTGCGAGTTAAAGATCTAATATATGACTCCTGTAGCTGATACCCATAAAATCCCCAATTTCTTTTACAAAATAAGAATTGAAAAGAGGTAAAAGATAATCTAAAAATATTCTGAAAAAAAACAAAACAACAAAGCTAAAATATTATACACTTACTGCAATGGTTGCTGCAATGGATGGACCTTTCTAATATCTCACCCATTATTTCGGTTACGGTTTCCGGCAAGATTAAGTAATGCAGGGAAACTTACAATGAGAAAAAATAGAAACAAAAAATATATGATATGGAGGTTTAGGAGGTCCCTCAACTACTGGTGTTTTATCCTATTGTGTTTGGCAGCAGTAGGCGTCACCCAGAAGTTGACTCTTACAGCACTGTTATTTCGAGTTTTTAGCTAAATATAAACTGTTTTATTATTTGAAAAGTGGAATCTTAATGTTATATAAGTTCTTTATAACTTGAACAATTGTAGCTGACATTTATAAGATTTTATTACCATGCAATTACCACATTAAAACTATCTCCTGTTGTATCTAAATCCTATCTTTTCTGACAACCATCGATTAATGTTTTCACTGTAATTAATTGATATCCAATTCTTTACCAGCTTTCATCAACGTTAAGTGCTCAACTTTTAAATATTATCTAAAAACATTGTCGAAATTACATAAAAAAGGAGTTTTTAAGGAGTCAGAATTTTAAAGGATTATTGATGTACAAAATAAAAAAATAAATATGTTACACTTATGATAGAGTGTTATAGTAATTTAAAAATTGTCAGACTTCTGTGTTAAAATCTCTGCTTCCTAAAAGACAACTGTTTATCCAAAGTCACTTGTCTAAAATTATTATCTATCCAGATAGATAGATAGATAGATAGAAGAATCAACTTTATTCTGGGACTACGTCCCTTGAGAATAACAATATTGTACATAAAATTAAACATTACATCTGGCCAAAATGTATATTACAATAAACAAAAACAAACAAACAAACAAAAAAAACAACTAAAAAATAAGGGATAAAAGAAGTGTTTACATAACTGTACAGATATCGGAAGCCATAATATGAGAAATAATGTCCTAATACTGCAAAATAGTTGCTATACACAATACGCTATGAAATTATAAATGAGCGACAGATAATAATAAAGATGTTATAGTAATAGTAGTATGTTCGTAGAACATAATAGTATAATCGAAATACAATAATAGTGTAATCGTACATACACAATATATACACCCAATAATACAATAATAGTGAGAATACAATAATAGTACAATAGTATATATACAATATACATATATTAATATATATATACATATACATACATACAATGCAACAATAGTATAATAATACAATATAGGCTACCCAGCGTCTGATTGAATTGAAAGGAGGAATTGGAAAAGGAGGGTTTTAAATGTGGATAAGGATGGTGCATGGCGGATTTTAAGTGGGATGGAATTCCAAAATGTGGTGGATCGGACAATAAAGGAGTGTTGAAATGAGGCCGATTTGTGGAAAGGGGTATAAAGGTCGGAAGGACGAGATCTTGTGGAGAGGGAGTGGATAGATGACTTGAATTGAAGGAGATTGAATGCGTAGGAAGGACGATGATTATAGATTATTTGGTAAAGGAATGTACCTAGGAAGTACTGTCTTCTGAAGGAGGGGAAGAGCCACCCTGACTCGGCGTAGTAGTGGGAAACATGAGAACGTCTCGGGGTCCCATTGACAAATCGTACTAAGCCATTCATTATTCTTTTCAGTCTGACTCCAAGTTCCGATGAGAGGCCACCGTACACTACACAGCCGTAGTCAATGTGGGGGAAGATGAGGGCGGATACTAGGAGTCTACGTGTGGATATGGGTAGGAGATGGCGGAAGCGATGGAAGAGATGGAAGAGAGATCAAAAAAAAATATTTTATTTTTAATAACAGTCAGAACAGAAGCACTGTTATCTACCAAACAAATTTCAAACGAATCGTTTAGATATAACATTTATTTCTTATTACTTGATCTGCCATGCAAAATTTGTTACTTAATCAGGTAATGTCCTGACTCGAATGGAAGGAAAACATTAATTTTCTGCTTCGAAAAATGGCCATTTTCTTTATTAAGATGTTTATGTTTTGTCCTGATGTTGTTCCCACGTTTCTATTCATGACATCTTGAATGAGCGTTGATCAATTATCATAATCACCTTCAAGGCAGCAGGTAAATTATTTTCTGTTTACAAGAACAGCACAGTGTTGGTACAATACACATTAGTTCCACTTTATTTACTACGATAATTACGTTGTCCCGGTGTGCGAATCAGGGTTGGTTTAATTTATAGACATAAAAAACAATTTTATAAAAAGTACTTGTCCATAGTTCATATACACTTAGGAAATATTAGATGAACGCAAAGTTACATAAAATGTCAAATTGAGCAGAATTGTTAATTACTTGTGTTGTATTAAAACGACCAAACAACTACCCATTTTTTTAAAAACTAGATGTACCCTTTACTCAGCTATAAAACAAGCTGCAAAGAAAAGAGAAAGAAATCAGTAAGTTGTTCTTGACTATTTTTCTATGCCAGCAGCATCAGTCACCTCGGGTTCAGAATCAGTCACCGTATCAATCACGTTCAAAAATAATATATAGAACATATGTGAATATGAAGAAAATAAAAGCTCGTTCAGAATACGATACTTTGTCAGCCATAATTAATTAAATATTACAACTTACCTAGGAAAACGCGAACTCCCAGGAAACCTCTTGCGATGGACAACATCATGGTGAACATGTTACTCTTTGACGAAAAGGCATAATCGTTCTTCGTCTTCTCCTTTGGCCCCGAGAATCTTCCATAGAAGGCGACAGATATGGAACCCAAAATGAGGGACCCGAACACCAGGTAGTCGTATATCAGGTTCCCTTCCATTCTGTAATAACAAAGAAAAAGTTAATATCTGAAAATGATACACATTTAAAAGTGTAAATAAAATTAAAAATAGGATATTAATCTTTCAAACTATGGAATGAGCTCAGAACCATAAAGACTAATTCCTGAATTTAAAAGTTTTATATTATGGAATAATATTATTTCCATTCTGTGTCTGATAACTTTCTGCCAAGTGAACTTAAAGCTTTAAACATTTTTTTTTTAAGTAAAAAAAAAAAATATCAATTTATTACATCAATGAGCTTATTGGGGTATAACATATTTGAGGTGACCACACACAGAATTTGGAAAAAATAAAATTTTCTTAATGGGAGAAATTTTAATAACACGTTTTCATCAGGAACTATTTAAAATCGATTGTCATACATATAGACAGGATAATTATAGATGTCATTGAGACATCTACAAAGGTCGATTTATCAGAAGATGAGTAAATTTTTTAATTTTCTCCTATATATACAGTGATAATTTATTAATTTATGTATTGGTATTATTGGCTACAGAAAAAGTTAATTAAAGTTGAAAATAGACAGAATAAGTCATCTAGAATACCCATACCTATAAAAACCAAATGAGAATGAACTCAATTTTCTTAACATAATATCGTACTTTTATAAAGATACGAATATCCTTTCAAAATTACTCATCTTCAATTTTTTACTTGCAATATTTATTTTGATGGACAACAGATTTCCCTATTTACTTAGTAAATTGAAATGACAAGACTTTCTATGATATCAAACTCCAATATAAATTTTAACTTTCAAACTCAAATCATATTTTCAAGATTTAGTATTAACATCAGAATATAAATTTAACATCGTATATTTTTGCAGACACATTAATATTATATTGTCGCCTAAGTGGCAACAGCAGCTATCTCAGACGTATCAGAAGCGGACCTAACTCGAGCATCCTTTGAGAACTGAAGACTATTGTAAATTAAGTGATAGTAGAAAAGTCTGAAACGGTCAAGAGTAAATCATGCAAGAAAAACTCTCCAGAGGAATAATGGTTTGTTTCCCTGCTTTTTTGAAAAATCTTCAAAGCTGATATAACTGCTGTTGCTACTCAAAAAAGTATATATTTTATATATATATTATCATGATGTATGAACTTATTCTCTAATGGTGAAACAACTTTTTTTTTTTTTTTTTATTTATGAGCCATTTATGAATAGGCATGTTTGACTTTTCGAAAATATTTCTGACATTCAGAGGATGATGATCTATTGGCGTGGTTACTTAATTCGATAAATAATAACAAACATTCAATTATATTTGCATAACTTTTTCCCGAAAACGAATTGGGGTTATAAATATCACTTACCCCATTTACGTAAAATTAATACTCATATTACTGAAATTAATTAGATATAAAATTTAATTTTTGTTTAATATCATAATTCTAGGAGACAGAGCCATCCTAAGAAATTGGTTTATTTAATTAGTTATTATCGGTGAAAAAGATACATCATGGTTTAAATTATAATTTTTCTGCATTATTAAGTACATGATAATATCAATGCTATAAGAAATTCTAAGCAAAATAACTCCTCTGATTTCTTGGTTGTCCAAAAAATTTCACTTTACTACCTCTTACAAGATTTCTAAATCAATTTTGAGAGCAAACTGAAATTGTTTGTATTAGTAGAGTACAGGATAAGACGTAACGGATATTATAAATAAATTCCTGTCCGCGCTGATAATTGTTTGCGTTAAAGCCACTTTTTTTCCCTTGGCCAGAGCTATAATTATTAAAATAGTTTCAAAAATTATCGAATGTTTCAATTCTAAGAAAAAATGATTTAAAACAGGTATTTTTAAATGCTGTGCCATTACAAAATCATAGTCTAGTTCGAATATTTTTTGGGTTGCGACAGATTTAACTGGGTCCTCGTGTGGGGTAAACGAACTGTTGAGAAAATCTACCCCATTGGAAGTGGGCATTTGTAGAAGATTGTTAACACTTTCGTAACGCCCCTCGTCGATGAGTTTAAATGCAATAATTAGAAAACAAAAATGGAATATAATAAATGGGTTTCAATCAAGTACTTTGATATCACATCTTCGAGTTAAGTTAACAAATATTTACAAATACATACATCTATGATCAGTTGATAATAATAATAATAATAAAAGGCTTAGCGAACCCGGGGGTTCGATACCGACACCACCAATCGCTTATTACACACCGCCCTCCAACGTTCGCCGTCCAAACCCACTCCCTTCAGATCGGCTTTAATGCAATCTTCCCACCTTCGCTTCAGTCTACCTCTCGGACGTTTACCATTCGGTACAGCAAATATCAATCTTTTAGGAATTCTTTCGTTACTAAGCCCAACTATTTTACAAGTTCATTTGATTCTCCGCGATGTAATCACCTCAATTATATTAATTGGATACAGTTCACGCAACTCGTCGTTGTGCAACCTTCTGAACTCTCCGGTTATCTCATTTTTCTTCGGTCCGAATATTCTACTCAATGCTTTATTTTCGAAAACCTTAAGACGTTGCTCATTTCTTAATATAAGCGACCACGTTTCGCAACCATAAAGAACTGTAGGCAGGATAATGGTTTTATAGATTCTAGTCTTAGTAAATTCTGGGACAAGATGCGCGAGCTAAGTAGCTTTGTCACAGAAAAATAACAAGCATTTCCCGCCTTCAGCCTAGCCTTAATCTCCTCTTCAATTTCATTTTGTTTTGTTATTCTAGACCCTAGGATACTTAAACTTCTCTACCTGTTCAATATCACCTGCGATATCGCCATTTTTGCAGCTATTTAGTTTAATAGTTTCCGAGTCTTTGCTGAACAGGACCAGATCATCCGCATAGCCAAGCATTTATATCCCAAGCCAACCCTTTTTCGGTAAGCATCACCTCCCTTAAAGGAAGGGAATCACCCTAGATCAGTTGATATTGTTAGTTTTAATTATATATATATATATATATATATATATATATATTATATATATATATATATATATACATACACCTTCATAAGTAATATCAGAGGAAAGGAGGGCGTAAGATAAAGAACAAAATGTTAATTTCAAATTAATAATTGCCGAATGAGCTCGTCCATAGGCTGTCAACTAATTGTGGTCTAGCTACTTCCACAAAGCATTTTTAATTTTGTGTAATATTTTTTTTTTTTTTTTAATTCAATGATACAGGCAAAGATCGACCTTTTTGGAGCAGCTCAGCCAGTAACTTCCGCCATCATAAAATAGGGACTTCTCAACAGACAATCAAACTGCTGAATGATTTTTTTATCACACTGACTATATTTATTTTAACATTGATTTTTTTCTTCATTATTTTATTCAAGTGCACTAATCAGTAAGTTGATTTTTATTTTAATAAATCAAATAAATAGCTTAAACTTGTGAATTTGTTTGATCGTTTATTTATTTTTGTCAATGCGCCCTAAACAGTGAATTATTTATGTGTTTGAATGTTCCATGTTTTTGAAGAAAACTTCAGTGTTGAGAAATAGCATTTAATTAACCATAATGTACAAAACAACTACATTGCGTACAAATTATAATATTTCTATTGTTGTTGTTCATCAGTCCTTATCTAACTAGCCGCTCTCTTCGGTTATTATTTCAAAACGGATAAAACATCAGAAGTATCAGACTAAATCGAAATATAGAGAATAAACAGTAAACATGTGATGCCTGAGGTATAAATTTTATGTTTTAATAGTGGGGTAACGTTTTCTCCTTAAAACTAGATATATAACGACTATAAGGTCGTTTCTTGAGTTGTTTACCTAGAACAATACTAATATAGTGTACTAACAAAAGCCATGAACCAACCGAGTCCAATTAAAAATCAAACGGTAGCTATTTTTAATATTCATTATCATTCAATGAATTGAAAGCTCATTAAATATACAGGTCCAAAGTTGAATTTCCATTGAGTACTGATTCAGATTGGATGATTTAAATTTATAAATTCTTTTAAAAGTACATTTGTGACACCAGGTACAAGGACGTTAGCATTAGGTCACGGTTAGATTATAATCGTATTCAGTAATTATGAGTAAATCCATCATAATCCGTATTCCATAATTAGTGCGGTTCTCTGAAGATTTTGAAGGGTTTTCGAATATTTTTGATTATTGCGGAGAAACGAGATGTGGGACATATGTTCATTTATCTTGAACGATTTGTATCTAGAGTTTATTTAGAGAACCTTCTGAAATGCATTCGGCCTTAGTATGAGAAATAAGATGATCTGTTCAACATGGCTTGACCCCCAAACACGATCCTTCCCGGAATCCCTGCCAATTTCAGAAGGGGCGTACAAACTTATCGATAAATATAGGCGCCGACTTATGAAAATTATTGAGGAGGGGAGGAGAGGATGAACTATAACATCACGAGGTAGGAGGGGCCGGAGTCTGAGAGGGTGGTGCTAGTGTTTGAAATATATCCTATATGCCTATATGCAATAGATAATATATGCCTATATGAAAAATTACATTCTCAGGCAAGTGTAGAAATGTTTCAAGCCCTCAACTAAAACAGTACAGTATTTTAATAAATAATTCCTTTTACAGTTTATGAATCCAAAATAGGACACCGTTAAACAAATTCTATCATACCCGCTAGTAGACCAATACAGTCCTTTGTAACGTAGACGATCGATATGTTCATGAAGTTCATTCTATAGTAATTTGTTAGGGGGGATGAACATCTACCACGGCAGCATAGATAGTAGTCGGCGTATATGTCAATAAATGACCATATATTTTTATTTTTGGTTTAATATTTTTTTCATCAATACACAATTAATTGATTTTGTAAAATCACTCTTATTATCCTTAAAACAATAAATTTTAGTTTTCATTAATTTATACATCCGCAGTTTGAGTCATATTCTGTGCTAAAAAAGGAGCTAACAGACGAACTGATGAAACTTAACCCAAAGTAGAATACAAAAATGATCCAAAATTTGCCAATATGAC